AAACCTAGAACTATAGAGTTCCTCAAGGAAAAACAAGGGGCAAATTTAGGAACCCTAATATATGGCATAAATAGACTATCAAGCATAACCCAAAATACACAAAGAGCAGAAGAGAAACTAGATGAATGGGACTTTCTGAAAATTAAATTTTTATGTGCTTCCAAAGACTTCTCCAAAAGAGTCAAAAGAGAACCTACAGATTGGGAAACAATATTCAGTAATAACATACCTGACGAGGGACTTATCTCTAAAATTTATAGAAAACTTCAACACCTCAATAACAAAAAGACAAATAATCCAATTAAAAATGGGCAGAAGACGTGAATAGACACTTCACCAAGGAGCATATTCAGGTGGCCAACAAACATATGAAGAAATGCTCACCATCGTTAGCCATTAGAGAGATGCAAATCAAAACAACAATGAGGTACCATCTTGCCCCAGTACTAACAGCAAAGTTCAACAAGACAGAAAATAACAAATGCTGGCAAGGATGTGGAGGAATTGGGACTCTCATACACTGCAGGTGGGACTGTAAAATGGTACAACCACTGTGGAAAGCAGTATGGTGATTCCTTAAAAAGTTGGAATTAGAAATACCATTTGATCCAGCCATTCCATTACTAGGTACATATCCTAAAGAAGTGAGAGCCATGAGAAGAACAGACATATGCATACCCATGTTCATTGCAGCACTATTTACAAAGCAAAAAGTTGGAAACAACCTAGGTGTCCATCAACTGAGGAATGGATAACCAAACTGGTACATACACACAATGGAATACTGTGCAACCCTAAAGAATAACCTAGAATCTGCAAAACACCACATAACGTGGACAAACTTGGAGGGCAGGGAAGAGATAACTATCGGGAGAGAGTGGGAGGGTAGGTGTTAACATTGGAGTAAATTGTAGTCAATGTCATGAGACAAAGTGTATGTGAACTGCTGTATGGAAAGTGAATTTGCTCTGTAAATTTTCATCCAAATAACAATTAAAAAAAAAATTAGACTTAAAGCCACATGTTATAACTGTAGCCATGAAGGAGTTGGAAGACTTTATAATGCTATTTTATAGTTATAATGAAATCTGAGGCCCCGTGTACTTGGAGCCATCCTCTCTCATAAATCAGCTGAGATCTAAAAGCATAAAATATAAAATATATGTGTTTCTTCTTTTTTTAAAAAAAAAAAAAAAATTCTTTTTTTACTAATTTAATTTTTATTGTTGTTGAGAATATATATAGCGGAACATACACAATTCCCCAGTTCCTATGTGTACAATTCAGTGACATTGATTACGTCTTCAAGTTGTGCAACCTTTCTCACTCTCCTTTTTTGAAGTGTTCTCCCTCATTAACATAAACTCACTGCCCCTGATACTTCCTATTTAATCTTTAGAGTTGCTGTTGTCTGTATGACCCCATCAGATAGATCTTAAAAGAGCATTATGCTCAAGGCAGGCATTCTTCAGTAATTATTGCTTTGTTTCAAGAAGACTTCAGGGATATTTTTGTTGAAAGATTATCTCAGGCAACAGTTTTGGGCATTGCAGTATGTGCATTTCTATGCAGAGTCTGGGTATAACCCTTGACATGCATGGGCCTGTGATACATGAAGGTTAGGAACAGGGTGGCTGTCTTGGAAACCTGTGTGCTGAGTGTCCCACAGGTAGTGTGAATCTGGAGGAGAGCAATTCTATTTTGTTAACAATCATTGTTCCCTTTTCAAGTCATTTAGCTTCATTGTTCATAAACATCAGAGGAACATGCAAATTAGAGCATGCTGAAATGCTTTCATTTGGCCAAGAATGTTTTCAAAGAGCTCCCTGCTGCTCAGAAAGAGTCCTCAGCAGCTGGCTTCACTGAACTGTAGAACAAGCAAAACGATGTTAAATAAGGATTAAGGGCTTTAGACAGTAAGTATAAGATATTAAATGTTTTCCCTGGCTCATTGTGAGCCTTTTTCTTAATTCAGCACACAAGCCTTCTGTGGAAGAGCAGCTTCATGGGCTTCTGGTTTTTGTTTTTGTTTCTTCGGGGAGGGGGCTTCCCTCCCTCCATAGGAAAAGATAAGAATTTAATATAAAGGAAGATAAGACCAAACTATAAAGCAGGCTGCAGTCGTTTTGGTCGTCTGCCCATTTATAAGTCCAATTTCTCTCAGACTCAGTCAGCACAAATTGCTGTTAACTACAATTTTGTTTTATGAGGGAAATGGGCCTTGAAAATAGGGCTGTTTTCTTTCATTCTGAACCCACAATATCTTCTTTTGAGTTGTTTTCATTAGGTGGTTTATGATCATGGACTGTGGAACCTCAGCAGTTTGACACCTTTCTCTGTAGCCCCTTGGTTGTCCTCTGATGCCTCTGGGGACAGAGGGTTTGGTCGTAAAGAAGAGATTTGAAGATGAACACACATGAATTTGAATGCCAACTTTGGCACTCAGATGCTCTTTCCTCCAAGCAAGAAGTATAGGAATGGCTCTAATGAGAAGAGAGAGCTGAAGCAGCCCTTGAAGTTGAGGGTAGACTTGGTAAAGGATGTTGGGGAATACGAGTGTTTCTCTAAAGCTTTAGCATGCCTGACAGACATTTTAATACCTAGCATCACATCTTCTTCCCCTTCTCTTCATATTATATATTACCAGCTCATCTTCTTCCTCAGTTTTATTGAGTATCTGTTATGTGTGAACCTACAAGAAGTTCTTTGGAATCTCTCACCCAAAGGTTTACTTGGTCTAAGCCTTCAGTTCATTCCAATAGTTGCTCACTCTCCTAAGAAGGGACTAGGGAGAGGCAGTCTCTTCCCTCACGGAGAAAGAAATCAACAGAGTTTGCCCCACGGTGTCAACCTGGATAAAACGTAGACAGCCCAGTAATTTACATAAACATAACCTTGTGTAAGGTCATTCTGTCATGTGGTCTAACATATTATGTTTTCATTTTCAGTTAGAACCTTTGTGACAGAGTTTAAATTAAAGAAAACGTTTCTCAATACTACTATGGAAAAACATTCAGACCTGCATGAAGTTGAAAACGAAATCACCAAAATGGTAAGTTTCCTTTAAAGAAAAAAAAAAAGGAAAAAACCTCACTGCTGTTGAGTTGGTTCCGGCTCATAGGGACCCCTCCTTGGATTCTTCACATTACATGGTGGTTAAGTGACTTATCCCAAGAGCAAGTTTATCTTTGAAACTTGCTCTTGAATGGAGAATAGCTAAGGCAAATGGAAGAAATTACAAGATAAAAGAGCTGAACAGAAAATTGCAAGGAGCAGCTCGAGAAGACAGTCAGTTATTATAATGAAATGTGCAAAGATCTGGAGTTAGAAAACAAAAAAGGAAGAACACACTCGGCATTTCTCAAGCTGAAAGAACTGAAGGAAAAATCAAGCCTCAAGTTACAGTATTGAAAGATTCTATTGGCAATATATTGAATGATGCAGGAAACATCAAAAGAAAATGGAGGTAATGCACAGAGTCATTGTACCAAAAAGAACTGGTTGATGTCCATCCATTTCAGGAGTGGCTGATGATCAAGAACCAATGATACTGAAGGAAGAAGTCAAAGCTACACTGAAGGAATTGACAAAAAACAAGGCTCCAGGAATTGATGGAATACCCATTGTGATGTTTCAACAAACAGAGCGCTGGAGGCACTTATTTGTCTGTGCCAAGAAATTTGGAAGACCAGCTACCTGGCCATCTGACTGGAAGTGGTACGTATTGGTACCCATTCCAAAGAAAGGTGATCGAAGACAATGTGGAAATTATCAAACAATATCATCAATACCACATGCAAGTAAAATCTTACTGAAGAGAATTCAAAAATGGTTGTAGTCACTGCAAAAATAAAAATAAAATTTAAAAAATGGTTGCAGCAGTATATTGTCAGGGAACTTCCAGAAAGGCAAGCTGGATTCAGAAAAGTATGGGAAACATGGGATATCATTTGTAGTCAGATGGATCTTGGCTGAAAAGCAAAGAATTCCAGAAGGATGTTTACTTGTGTTTTACTGACTATGCTAAAACATTTGACTGTGTGGATCATAGCAAATTAAGGATAACAATGAGAAGAATGGGAATTCCAGAACACTTCATTGTGCTCACAAGGAACCTGTACATAGACCAGCAGGCTGTCATTTGAACAAAACAAAGGGATATGGCATGGTTTAACATCAGGAAAGGAGTGTGTCAGGGTTTTATCCTTTCATCATATTTATTCAGTCTGTATGCTGAGCAAATAATCCGAGAAGTTAGAGTATATGAAGAGGAACACAGCATTAGGATTGGAGGAGGACTCATTTACAGCCTGCGATGTGTAGACCACACAACCTTGCTTCAGTGCTTACTGATGAAGATTAAAGACTACAATCTGCAGTATGGATTCCACCTCAACATAAAGAAAATGAAAATCCTTGAAACTGGACCAGTAAGCAGCATCACAATAAATGGGGAGAAGACAGAAGTTGTCAAAGAATTCATATTACTTGTTTCTACAATCAATACCAGTGGAAGCAGCAGCAGTCAAGAAAACAGACGATGTACTGCACTGGGCAAATCTGCAAGATTTCTTTAAAGTGCTGAAGAGCAAAGATGTCTCTTTGAAGACTAAGATGCGCCTAACCCAAGCCATGGTATTTTCAGTCGCCTTATATTCATGTGAAAGTTGGACAATGAATAAGGAAGACCGAAGAAGAGTTGATGCTTTTGAATTGTGGTACTGGCAAAGAATACTGAAAGTATCATGGGCTGCATGAAGAATGAACAAATCTGTCCTGGACAAAGTGCAGCCAGAATGCTCCTTGGAAATGAGAATAATCAGACTTTGTCTCATCTACTTTGGTCACGTTGTCAGAGGGACCATTCCCCGGAGAAGGATATCATGCTTGGGTAAAGTGGAGGGTCAGTGAAAAAGGGAAAGACCCTCAATGAGATGGATTGACCCAGTGGCTACAACGATGGGCTCAGGTATAGCAAGGATTGTGAGGCTGGCGCAGGACTGGGCAGTGTTTTGTTTTCTTTTACAGAGGGTCGCTATAAGTCGGATCCAACTCAATGGCACCTTACAACAGCATCAACAAGTGACTTACCTGGCCTGTTAATTTTTGACCAGTTTCAACATATACTTCATTGGTGATATGACCTCCCCATTCCCAAGAAATACTGAAGTTTTAGGCAGTTACTGGGGAAACTACTCAAATAGCCTTTTTCAAGATGTCTTTCTGCTTCACTAATACCTGGGAGAATAAAGTTAAAATAATACATTGAAGTGTGTGAGAGCAGGAACTCTACAGAACTACCTTGTTTTTCCAGCTCTTTCAAGTTTTCAGTTTTTGACAGAATGCATCTTACCACTTTTCTTTCGCTCTCTATTAGTGAAAAATATTTGTGTTTTCCTTCTCTGACTGATTTTCACCTTACACGGGTTCTGGCTTTCATAGGTTTTACTGTAATAATGAAATAATATGCCATTGCCTATCAGAATAGAAATCAATGTAATGCAAAGCTGGAAGGGTTTGATAACATCCCATGTTTGAAACTTTCCTCTGAAGGGTGAAATATGTCTGAGACCTGGGCTTTGAAGACAGGTGGGTCTGCCTTGTGCAAGGGATGGCGCCCCTCTGGTCCCCAGAAGGAATCCCCAGCCCCTATTCTGGGGGAAAGTGGGAAAACAGGCATGATACTTCATGCTATAGAGTGATTTTCTGCTCTCTCTGAAGGCACAAGGCAAACACAGGGAGAGTCATTCTTGATTTGCTCACAACAAAAGGGCTCTTGACCCATGTAATGTAATTTCCCTTTTTGAAGAAGACCTATCTTTGCGTTAGGTCAACTCATTGTAGATTATGAGGGGTCTGTGTAGGGCCCTCCAGACCTGGGGTAGCTGAAAGGACACGAGCCTTTTCAACAAGGCTCGTTCACTATGCAAGGTCCAAATAAACAGTTGCCTTTGAGCTTTTCGAAACCCTGGGTCTCAGAAGAGAATCTGCTCCTCTGAAGATGTTTTGCATCCAAGGGTGCTGTTCTGAACATCATTTCCTGCCAGGATTTTCCCCACTGATTTACTGCCTGGTTCTCTCCCCTTTGTACTCATGGAACAACAGAATAAGAGCAGAAATCCATGTCAGAGGAAACAAAAAACGGGTACCACTTCTGTGTAAAGCTGCCTGCTGGCAACTTAATAGCTAGAAAATGCCTAAAAATAGGAAATTGGTTCTAGGTCCAAGGCTTTTGTCTAATTCACAGTTAACGATAAACCTGTTCTTCCTTTCAGTTAAATGTGTGTTTTTCAACGTTACCTGGTTATACCCGATCCACAGTTCATACTTCTAGGTAGGTAACAGAATTATATTTGCTTGTGAACCAGTTCACAGGAAGGGAAGCATATTCAGTATGGGTGATAACAAACTGGGCCCTGTTTTGAACAAGCCACTGGGTGACCCAATGCCAAGGTCACTCTATCTGCATGTTCTTCCATTCCCTCATTACAGAATGGAGATGATGCAGGTTTTCTGAAAGCCCTGTCATTTTGAACAACTAAACCCTGCAAACTTCACCCACAGGGAGCCCAGCATGGTGGTGATCTCGCTGCAAACCACCTTTTCCCTGGCCTCCAACGTGACACTGTTTGACCTGGCCGAGAGGATACAGAAATGTGTCAACTCCTGCAGGTCCTCTGCTGAGGCCTGCCAGCTCCTGGGATCTCAAAGGCGGATCTTTAGAGGTAAGAGAGATGTCCTCGGGGAACAGCCCCCATACAGTTAAGCATAGACCTAACAGAATAGTAAGACATTCAGAGCTTAGGCCAAAGAAAATTCATCACAGAACCTGTCTTTAAGGTGGTGTTAAGCAGTAGACCCCCATATATACACAACTTTGTGCACACACACACACTCCTGCATACATAGCTTTGAAGTCCTTGGCATGTACAGTATTATTATTATTATTATTTGCAAATTGCAAATGCACAGAACCAAGACCAGAAAGAATATAAGCTAGAATGCTCACAGTGGTGCCACTAATGATGGTTTTCCTTTTCTTGTTTTTGCTATATCTATTTGGTCAAAAGCTTCTACTGTGAATCCCCAAAACTGAAACTTTCTGCCATCGAGTCAATTCTGACTCATAGTGACCCCTATTGAGTTTCCAAGGCTATAAATCTTTACGGAAGCAGAGTGCCCCATCTTTCTTCCATGGAGCAGCTGGTGGGTTCAAACCAGTGACCTTTTGGTTAGCAGCCAAATGCCTTAACCACTACATCACCAGAGCTCGTACCATGAATCTAGCATGAGGCAAATGAAGAAAGAGATTAGAAACAAGTTCACAAGGAAGATTTAGGTCTTAGAGGGGAGTTTTCATCTTTGAGATAGGAAAAATTCTTCACTGGAATCAAAAGTGCTTTCTTGTAAAGGGGGCCTGTGCCTGTTCCTGTATCATAAATGATCAAAGCAGGCTCTGGCTACTTATTTTACTATGAAATTAGGGCTGGTTTAATCCTCCCCATCTGGTATCCAGATGCTAGATCTAAGTTGTAGGTGTCAGGTTTTGGTGCTATCTCCTTCTAGTAGATCTAGGACATCCCCTGTGGGTCAGATTTTTGTAGCTGCTGATCCACAGAGCTTTCCTGAAAGGGACTCTGTGAGTTGCAGGGCTTGGAAGCTGGGTATTACCATTTCCCATGTGGGGTACATGCTGGTAGTTTGGCCTATGTAAGGGCTAGTTGTTAATTTAAAAAAAAAAAAAAAGAGTCAAATTTTCTCGAGATGAAGTTGATTTGATTCAGCACAATTGGAGAATTAGGTAAAAGGTTCATGTACCATAATATTGTGCTCTAGATATTGAGGCAAGAGCTCTTGGTTTTTACTTTTTGATTCTCTCACCAAGGATTCAAGGGTACCACTCTTTCCTCCCCAGCAAGATAGGAAGAACACATTTCAATTCACTAAATACTTATGGAGTACCCAAACTGCCAACCTTTCAGTTAGTAGCCAAATGTGTTAGCCATTTGCACCGTCCATGGATTCCATGGAGTACTTTCTATGTGGTCAACATTGTATCAAGTTGCCTTTGTGTGTGTATGTGTGTGTGTGTGTGTATGTCCCAATTGATATGCATTCATGCCTCGCAAGTCTAGTAGTCAGATATTTGGTAAGATCTTACTCATAGCAACCCTGCCCATTCTCTGACCCTCCCGTCTTCTAACTGCTTGGAAGCAGCATATGGAGAAGCTCCTGTCTTCCTTTTTGAAGGACTAGGGTCCCCATTCTTTACCTCTCCTTTCAGAGCCCTGGAGAACAAAGGCAGCTCCCTATGGTGGCTGTGTGAGGCTCTGTTCCCAGCTTTGCTCCCAAGTCTTTCCAGGTTTTGCCAGTAAACCAGTTTGGTCTCCTGCTAACCTTTGTGGGTGGTGGAGGGGTAAGTTGTCAGGCTGTAACACCTGTGCTTTTCTAACATATGGGCAGCATTGGGCCACCCTGGAAACTGCCATTGGAAAGGCAGGTTTTCCCCTTCAGGTCACAAAATATCCACTTCCTTGCCTTCCAAAGAACACCACTCTGATCTTGCCAGAGATCTAGAGTCTGGAACTCCCCAGTGGAATGTCTCAGTCTCAGATTTATAGAAGTTCTGATTGTCTGACCTCTTGGCGGATGTTATGCCCAGGAAGAGCATGGGAATTGTGGATGTAGAGAAATCACATCAGCAGACTTAACATGAAAATAGGGTTGTATTTGGTTCCGTTTGATGGATTTATGATAGGATATTCTTTAAGGATTTTTTAGGAGAGCAACTCCTTCTCTGTTGTAGAGGTAAAGGCTCTCCCTACTTTTAAGTGAATCTGCTTCTTTATGAAAGAGGGTGATTCAGCAGGGTGATGAGTATCTGCCAGCATGCTGGATTAATAGTGAGGCTAAAGGGAAAATGCGGTATTGGCCTCCAGAAAATCGCTAAACAGGCCAGGAGCCTCGGGGTGGCTGTTGGATCTGCCTGTGGCTAGCTAGAAGGGCCTATAGCTTTTTGCCCCCAAAATATCGTTATTAAGGCTTAACAACAGGTAAAACCTTCAGAGAGTTTAGACAGGATTGTCGAGGTTTAGTTCCTCTCTGGTGCCACCTTCTCTGTTTGCCATGTGAGATTTTCCTTCTCTTCAATTTTTCCTTCTTAAATACGAACTTTTCACAATAAACAAAGGAAATTCTGTCACACACATAAATGGGGTTCTGATTTAGCATGCCAACTTCCACTGATAAAGAACAGGAAATACAGCATTGAGAACTAAAATTGTGTCCTAAACTCACCTCCCTGTGACCAGGCTGCCAACCCAGCCTGAGCTTTCAGGACTCACCAGAGAGATGGGTACCGGGAACCCTGTGCAATGAGGAGCCCTGGGTAGCAGATCACATCATCTGAACTTACCTAGGTGGGACATTTTTCCAGAGTGTTAAGATCTATGTATCAGTTGGAGTCATGTAGAGAAACAGAACCAGTAGGATATATATAAATAGGGAGAGAGAGAAATTGATTGATTGGTTGATTGATTTTTAAGTAATTGTTCACACAATTGTGGAGGCTGGCAAGTCCAAAATCTATAGGGCTACACAGCAGGCTGGAAATTCCAGCTGGGTTTCTACATTGGAGTCTTGAGGCAGAGTTCCTTCCTTCTTTGGGAAACTTTAGTCTTTGCTCTTAAGGCCTTCCACTGATTAAAGGGTAATCTGCTTTCCTTAAAGTCGATGGACCATAAATGTTAATCACATATAAGTAACTTAATACTAACATCTAGAATAATGTTTGTCAAAACAATTGACCTGGCCAAGTGGACACATAGAATTAATCATCACAAGCTGGTACCTGGTTTCTGAATAGGTTTGGTGTCTTCCTTAACGTGGGAGGGGAGACTGTGCCTGGGACACTGGCTGCCCTTCTGTGGCTCTCTTCCCATTCTGAACTTGCTCTTGCTTCTCAACAATAACAGCAAAAATTTATCTCACCTTGCTTTCTACACATTGCTGTTCACTATCCACTTGATTTCCTATTTTTGTTCTACTGTCTGTGTACGCTTTTTACCTGTGTCCTTTTTGTCTGGCTTAATTTAGATGGTAAAGTCCATCCTAATTGTGTCCACTATATATAACCTCACAGAAAGGCACATGCCCAACAATGAATGCTCTTTGATAATAATGAAAATAGTCTTTGTCATCCATGAAAACAAGTACAGCCCTCATGCCCAGGGCCAGACAAAGTCAGTAGACGTACATATAAGAAATAAGGCCCAACAATGAATGAGGCAGCAAGCCTGCCCTGCTTGCCTCCCATTTCTCCTGGTAACGGCCCAGTGACTATTGGTCTGACAGGGCCCTTCAGCACATGGCACTGAGCATTGTCTGTGAACTAATCTTTCTGCAAGGTGCTGGAAACCCAAAAATGAATAAGCTTCAGGAAATTTGCAATCTAATGGGAGAGATGGACAGGTAAACATAATCACAATATAGCCTTGGAGAAGCAGGTGATCTTACATCCCTTCATTGTTATAAATCTCTGTTAGGCTGCAGCACAGAGTCAGGGCAGCAAACTGCTCAGGCACAAGAGAAGTGCTGGCTCCATCCAGGCAGTACAGACCCTAAAGCCAAGGCAGGCTTCAGCTTGAGACAGGTCTGGCAAGCTTGAGCCATTCCTGGGGTAAGTCTCTCGGCTTCCTGCAAAGAGCATGGTAATTTTTTCTGGGTTTGTGCTGATTCTCCACCTGCAGTCGCTTAGCCTCAAGGAAAGTATAGAGGATACCACACACTTGAGGGCTGGGTATAAGCAGTGGAAGCTGGGAGAAGGTAACAAGGTTCTGATCCTTCTCAGTTTGGTTTCACACTCTCTATGGAATGCGGTGAGGGTGTTTTTAATGGGGAAATGCTTGTGAATTTTTAGGAACTTGATCTGGGGGCTGACACAGGGAAAGAATAGTAGAAGCCAGTGCAGAATGGACCTGGGAAAGTTTTTGCACCGTGAAGATTTTTCTGAAGGCTGTTCTCAGAGCCTCTTTAAATAGAAAGTTCATGCATTTTAAGGTTTGAAGTGGAGAAGGTTTTGTTTTGTTTCACTGTCTTGTTTTTCCGTTCCAGCGGGCAGCTTGTGCAAGCGGAAAAGTCCTGAATGTGACAAAGAGACCTCCATCTGCACTGATTTGGATGGCATTGCTCTGTGCCAGTGCAAGTCGGGCTACTTTCAGTTCAACAAGATGGATCACTCCTGCCGAGGTACAGGCAGATTTGCTGGGGTGCAACACTGTGGCCTGAACCTGGGATGCAGGAAGATGCTTTTCTCTGCAGGCTTACATATGCTTTTTCTGTCTCTCCCTCTCGCTCTCTCACTCTCTCTCCCTACTATAGGTGTGACTGTTCTAAACTGGAGATAACCGGTTCTTGTTATTTTGCTCACAGCAGGATTGGATACATTATCTCCTTGGAATAATAGCATTATCTCTGACTGGTGCATGCTGGTCCCACAAATCAAATTCAAAGGAAAAGAAAAGAGAATGGAATGCCTGTGGTGGCAAGGCCTTTGCTTTCTTTTTTTCACTTAAGAGGAAGTTAGAGAAATTATTGTTTTAATTCCAAAGGTTTATTCTGTTGTCCGCTAATCTTTTAGAATGGGGATGTAAGCATGGAGCCAGACCCGTATCTTTGAGAACCGGCTGTGGCTCCATGGACAGAGGACTTGACTGAGCCTCAAAGAACTGAGCCAGTCTGGCTCTGCCTCATTGATTGTATATCATCTTGGACAAGTTGCTTTGCTTTTCTTTGCCTCAATTTCCTCATCTGTGAAACGGGTATAATGATACTTCTTCAGCTATTCCAAGAATTAAAGAAGACTATGTATGTAAGGAGGAGCTCTGGTGGCCTAGTGCCTAAGGCATTTGACTGCTAACCAGAAGGCTGGTGGTTCAAACCCACCAGTCACTCCTCGGAAGGAAGATGGGGCAATCTACTTCCGTAATGATACTGCCTTGGAAACCCAAGGAGGGGTCGCTATGAGTTGGGTCCGACTCGATGGCAAACAGTAACAACAACAACATGTATGTAAGGACTTAGTAAGCAGTCAGTTCTTATATTTTATCCAGGTTGTTGTTAAAGTAACTAGTTATGCTTTTAAAGATCTTAAAAACATTTGAGAGCAGAAATTTAATTCTGTGAACCTTTTAGGTGAAGCTTAAATACATTCAGTGTGAGATAGAGATTGCTTTCTAAGTGTAAGAATAAAACCAAACCAGTTGCCATGGAGGCAACGCCAACTCATGGTGACCCCATGGTTGTCAGAGTAGAACTGTGCTCCTTAGGGTTTGCAATGGCTGGTTTCTCAGAAGGCATTTGCCAGTACTTTCTTCAGAGGCACTTCTAGATAGACTCAAACTTCTAACCTTTTGGTTAGCAGATGAATAATGCATTAACCATTTGCACCACACAGGAACACTGATTCAAAATAAAATTAATTCAGCTCCAGAGCAATGTTTACCCTCATGTATAAAGGGTTGTTGAATTCTGACCTCTTCCAGTTCCCGATCACCAGAAAAGCTAGCACAATAAAAGCCACAATGCAGTCTTAAATATTGTGTCACCTCAGAATGTGCATGGCAGTTTTCCTGCTCAGTCAACACCTTGCTGGTGACAGATGCACTTGAATCTGAGTCAAAATTGCACACTGGGGAAAGGGGACGTGACACCGGTTTCTGTCAGGACTTCCCTTCAGAGGGCTCATTCCGCCAGGCAAGGATAAAAATACGTTTGAGGGCAACAGCAGCCTCATCCTAAGCTTCCGATCTTCTGACGTTGTTAGGCTTACATACAAAGTTCTTTTAAAGGTTGCACATCCTTAGCTCTCCATGCAGGACCTAGATGGGTTTTCAAGAGGAGGCAGACCACCATGCTGGGTATCAGTCCTGACGCGTGACTGGTTCACAGCATTTCTCAGCAGCATGTCAGGCTGTTAGGGGCCTGCAGTGACCTTGGTTATGGATGTATACACTGCATGAGGAAGGGGTGGGGGGGTTCCTTGCTTTACCACAAGGCAATAGTGCCTTCTAATCCCATCTTATCTGGTTTAATGCAAAGTGTTTCTTACCCTTCTTAGAAACTGGGGGATTTGAGCCCTGCTATATCATGTGTGAAAGTGACCTCTACCGAAATCCATGTGTGGGGGCCTCTGTGTAGCCTGCTGGAGGGAAAGGCATGGCAGGCAGAAATGTAGATGTGTAGGAGCTGTGGTCTCTAAGCGCTTCCTCTGAAGTTTCTTATGACCTTGAGAATGACCTTGCTATCTTTGCTTCTTGCTGTCCTGAGCAGTTGTTACTATTAGTGACCCCCATGCACAGTGAAACTGTGCTTCTCAGTCCTGTGCCATCTTCATCATTGGTTGTGGCTCCAGTCTTGATGTTGTAGGGTTTTCACTGGCCGATTTTCAGAAGTAGATTGCCAGGCCTTTCTTCCTAATCCATCTTAGCCTGGGGACTTTTCTGAAACCTCTTCAGCCTCACAGCAACACACAAGCCTCCACTGAGAGATGGGTGCTGACTGGGTGTGAGGTGTATTGGCCAGGAAGTAAACCCAGGTCTCCCTCATGGAAAGCAGGAATTCTACCACTGAACCACCATTGCCCTGTTGTTCTTAGCTACTCCCTTCTGTTTCCAGATTATCTTCTTCATTACCTTATTTATAGGCTAGCAGTAGCAGTAGCTCAGCTGTCAAAGATTTACCAAATGCAAATGACACATGCACTAACAACCTTATGCTTATCAAGTAGTGACCCCAAAACAACACAGTGAAACCTTGGTTAGCTTTTGGCTTTGTTGCTGAGGCCCCAGGAATCTTCTTCTGGGCGGTAGCCATGTTGCTTAGGTTTCCAGTCTGCAGCCATCAGACCTCTGATGAGTGGACTCTGCAGCGCCGTGGGCTCCTGCTGGCCCTGTCGGCTGGCTTCTGCTGGGTTAGCAGCGCCATCTTCTGGCCATCGGTGCTGGAGCTCAGGGGTTTATAACAAGATTCTTCATTTGAACAACTCAAATCCAGGGTCAGCCCCTGTATAGATGGCAGAGAGAGTGCTTGTAATAATTGGCAATTTTTTATACACATCAGCAAATATATACATTGGCAAATTTTTTATAGTGTTCTCTGATACACACACACACACACACACACACACACTTCTTAGTCTCTCACATAAAATGTCTTTTCTGTCTTTACCATGCTTTCAGAGCTTCACATAAAACTCAAACTGGCGTCTTTCCCATAGGTTTCTTAGCTTCCTTCCATCATGCAGGCACCATGATAAATTCCAACAGTCTGTTTGCATGTCTCTTTCACCAGATTGCAAGTGACTTGAGGGCTGAACTGTATCTAGAATACTGCTTAGCACGTTGTGGGGTTTAACAAATGTTTATCGAATGAACAAATGAATGATAGAGCAGTACAGATGATAGGAAAAGATTGGGTGATCTTTACTTAGTTTCAATTTCATGGGATAGATTGCCTACAAGGAGACAAGACTTTTTAATTTTACTTATTTTTTTAAAAAGGCCAAAGAATGTGAATTTGCTTGTAGCCATATCAGTAGGGAAGCTCGCTTTGGGCATATCTGCTGGCTCTTGTCACATCTATGTCGTCATCAGTGCTCGGTGGGTCATCAGAGTTCCTGTAGTGTGGGATGAGGAGCTGGGTCTCGAGGAGCTTAGAGTTTCCCATGGAGAGCTCCCTGAGCAGTACCAGGCACACAGTAGCACTTAATCTTTGCGAATAACTGAATGATCACATTTGAAATAAATATCATTACACCAAAGAGGCCACTTCTGAAGCTAAATGAAAGTAAACCAGCCCACCCACTCCCAGGCAGGACCACAGATGGACCTGACATCTGGCTGGATGACACCTAAGGAGTGGAAAGCCCCCACCCAGCAGATGAAGGTGGGTGGGTACATTTAATGCAGAAACATTTCCGGGAAGAAGTGTTCTGAATAGAACAGACAGGCATGACGTCAGCCTGCCATGGTGCTGAGCTGGGTGGGGATGAGTCACTGGAGAAGCAAGCAGTCCCTGTGCAGCTGCCACACAAATGGGGCAGGTATCACCAGGGGCTGCCCCTCCTGAACCCACGGCCTGGCCCTGCCCCAAGGCAAAGCAGCACAATGGGTGGAGGGCCAACTGCCAGGGCATAGTGCTTCCCACCCGTGAGAGGCAGGGCACTCAGTGTGTTCCTTGTTCCGTGAATGTGGCCAGTGGAGAACTCAAAGATACCAGAGATTGGGGGATGAGGCCTCATTACTCCTTCCCTAAATGGGATATTATTATGTATGCTCAATGTTACTGCACAAAGGATTTGAAGCATCTAATGAAAATGATACCATAAAACAAAATTTTGTTAAAAGGTAAATCTGATCGAGGGAAAAGAAACAGCCTCCTTTGTTGAAAATGGAAAGTGAATGTGCAGAAAGATAAACTATAAGAACTTGCATGTTTACTAAGGGTGGGCACTTATTCATATTCTGAGCTTCCTAGACACTTGAGAGAAACAAGACTTTGAGAAGAGGTGGGGTCCTTAACATATAGTGGCTCAGGAACATCCCCAACTTTCCAGGTCCTCTGGAGCCTCCTCATCAGGACGTTACTGAGTGATAGTGTGGCAATGTGGCCTATGACGTCCCTGCAATAAGTACCACAGGGAATTGCCCATGCATGGCTGATCCTTGTACTTGTTAGTTCTTGAGTCAGTTCTGACTCATGGCGATCCCACGTGTGCAGAGTAGAACTGCTCTGTAGCACTTTCAAGGCTGTGGCCTTTCAGAAATTGATCACAGGCCTTTCTTTCAAGGTGCCTCGAAAAAAAAACACACTCACTGCTGTCGAGTCAGTTTGACTCATAGCGACCCCTCCTTGGGTTTCCGAAGCAGATCTCTACAGAAGTAGATTACCCAACCTTCCTTCTGAGAAGTGGCTGGTGGGTTTGAACCTCTAGCCTTCTGGTTAACAGTCAAATGCCTCAGGCACTATGCTACCAGTGCCTCTGGTTTGGTTCAAACTGCCAAACTTTCGGTTAGTGGTTGAGTGCTTAACCATTTGTGCCACCCAAGGACTCCTGATCTTTATAATCAATAACTTCTAACAAAAGAGAATGTCACTTAGAAAAAATGATTCTGTGGAACCAAAGAATTGCAGTTTAAGTTCATAGCTTCCTAATGATCTGTTGTGAGATAAGTTACAGGTTACTTAGAACAGTGTTCTCCAAACTTTTCCACAAAACTCTAGTGATATGTTAATAGAGTCTATGATATTCATAGATATAATATTCATGTGAAAATATATCTACTCCCTAGTTGCTCTGCAGAAGGAAGATGGGCAGTCTACTTTCTGTGAAGATTTACTGCTTCGGGATCCAGTGGGGTTTACTACGAGCCGGAATCTACTCAATGGCAGTGGGTTTTATGCAGTTAGAAATACTCACTAAGGAGCTCTGGTAGCATAGTGCCTAAGGCACTTGACTGCTAACCAGAAGGCTGGTGGTTCAAACTCACCAGCCACTCCTGGTAAGGAAGGTCAGGCAATCTATTTCCGTAGTGATACTGCCTCGGAAACCCAAGGAGGGGTCGCTATGAGTTGGGTCCGACTCGATGGCACATAACAACAACAACATTCACTAATCATCTGTGAGGGGGCCAGTGGTGGTTCAGTGCTAGAATTCTCAACTTCATGCAGGAGACCCAGGTTCGATTCCTAGGCAGTGCACCTCAGCCACACCCCCTCTGCCAGTGAAGCTTGTGCATTGCTATGATGATGAAGCATTTCAGTGGAGCTTCCAGACTAAGACAGCCTGGTGATCTGCTTCCCTAGCTCAGCCACTGAAAAGCCTGTGGATCACAATGGTCTGACCTGCAGTGTCTCATGGGGATGGCCCAGGATTGGGCAGTGTTTTGTTCCACTGTGCATGGTGTCACCTTGAGTCAGAGGCCAGCCTGACAGCAGCTAACAACAGTCTTCTGTAATGAAGGATTCCAGGAAGTCTTGTGAGAAATCTTCAGACCCACTTGCAGGGTGTGCCACCCCACCCCAGCACGGCATGGCACACTGTTGGCACTTACAACTTGTATTTGCGGTGTGGTATCTGTTTAGAGATTACTTCTCTACATTATCTACCTTTTTTTTTTCTTTTTTCAGCATAAAGATGTACCATAAAAAACTGCATGTTTGCAAAAGGTGAACTTTGATGCAGTCTATATCTTATATTCATCATGAATCAAATTTTTATCCTTCCTTGCAGCAATGAATTTGCCTGTAAGGCCATTTTTTATTGTCTGTCTTCACCCAAGCAAGTATTATATTTCATGGTGTTCTGTCAGTTTATTGCAGTGTTGGTAGTGTTCCGTGATCAAATTAATTTGGGATTGCTGATCCAGGGGTATGACTGAACTACAGGACATACAGTGAAGCAACTTGTATGGGCTGCACAGCCAGAGAGTTGAAAGTTATGTTCTTGGGCACATGCCAATCGGGTACATCTAGTTATATCCAAATCCCCTGCAGTTTTATGAAAACTGGGCTATCAACCAGGACCCTGGCCCAAAGATGCCACCTGAAGTTTCCCTCTCCTCATGGAATGGGGCCAAAGCAGCCTATATCAGGCTGATGTCTCTCTCTGTATATGCAAGGGTGTCACACAGAGGACATTCTTCATCTCTAGAGAACGCATGAAAAAGAATTTTATTAGCTGGATAGTAGTTACAACTTGTTCTGGTTACCAAGTACTGGTCTGACAGGAATATACCACAAATGGGATGCCCTTAGCAAACAGGAGATTATTCTTTTACAGTTTGGAGGCTTTAAGTCCAAGTTCAAAGTGCCAAGCTCTAGGGGCTGGGTGAAAGCCCCTCAGCCCTGGGCTTTAGCTCTGCCTCCAGCTCCCGTCCCACTGAAGCTAGAGGCTTTTCTTCACTCAGACAGCTGCTGGCTGCTGAGGCTGTCAAGCCCAAGGTGGATAAGTAAAAAGGCAGAGTCCCGATGTTACCAAACTACACAGCAGGCCATTAACTTAAATCCATTGTAAGTCCTGAGGTCGGCAGAGCATGGCCAGCTACTGAACAATGACACGGCTACATGCAGGGTCCAGGTGTGCCATGAGCTAGAGACCATTTCCAAGGCTTCTCCTTATATACAGGAAGCAGACCACATCCCAAAGGCAGCTACTCAGCTGCTTGTGGTAGTTCCGACCGTGGAGTTGATTTCCAGTCTCATCATGGAGAATAACTACCAGCAGCTGCCCAGCCACCCAACCAGGCCCAGCCAAGTTGACACACAAACATAACCACCACACAACTACAAGGAGCTCTGGTGGTGTAGTGGTTAAGGAATTTGGCTGTTACCCAAAAGATCAGTGCTTCAAGTCCACCAGCCACTCTGAAGAAAGATGAGGCAGTCAGCTTCTGTAAAGATTTACAGCCTTGAAAAACCCAGAAGGGGTCACTGTGAATCAGATTTGACTTGATGGCAGTCAGTTTGGTTTGGTTTTGGACTACTACAAACATTTATTTTGGTGGTTACTATGTGGGCAGTCACTGTGCTAAGCCATTTGCATACCTTATTTCACTTAATCCCTTCCAAGAAACTTATAAAATAGATATTATTATCCCCTTTTTACAGATGAGAAACTGAGAAGCACAAAGAAGTTAAGAAAAATTCTTGATAAAGTTAAGAGTTGATCTGACAAGAATGTTTCAGCAGGTTATAGATAATCCTGAAGCTATTTGTAGCCTCTGATTCTAGGATATTCTTGCAGACTTGAGGGTGGTAGAGTTTAATTAATGTGAGTTTGGGCAGAGAGAGGCAAATACACCCACTCATGGATTTTTCTTTTCTCTTTCAGCATGTGAAGATGGGTATAGGCTTGAAAATGAAACCTGTATGAGGTAGGCTCCCTGTTCATTTAACCTGATGATTTTGTGGTAACTCTTATTTAGAAATTACTTACGTAAATTGCCCTGTTTCTTTTGTGGTTTGAAACTACTAATTCTTGTTCTTTTTGTCGTTGTTGTTGTTGACTTGCAGTTGCCCATTTGGCCTCGGTGGTCTCAACTGTGGAAACCGTAAGTATACAAAATTCTAGAGCCTCACTTGGTCTGGGCTTGGTCCCATCACTAATGCATAGGGTGGTGGTCTCCTCCTGTTTCCCTCAGTTCACATTCTCTGCCTTCTCAGGTTCTGGGCTAGGTGGTATAGGGAAAACAAATGTAAAAGACTTGATTGGTAAAAGACTAAGACTTTAGGGGTTTAGAGACTGGTTGTTGTTGTTGTTATTATTATTATTATGTGCCATCGAGTCAGACCCAACTCATGTGACCCCTCCTTGGATTTCTGAGACAGTATCACTACAGAAGTAGATTGCCCAGCCTTCCTTCCAAGGAGTTCCTGGTGGGTTTGAACCGCCAGCCTTCTGGTTAGCAGTCAAGTGCCTTAGGCACTACACTACCAGAGCTCCTTTAGAGTCTGGTAGGGAATATAAACACATTTCTTAATAACCCTAATCATGCTAATGCCACTCTGAGTGTTAATAAAATTAATAAGATGTGAACTATGAGGTATGGAGAGGAGGTAGGCCCAGATAGAGGGAGCAAGTTAAATAAAGGTCTTGAAGCAGGTATGGGCCAGTAGTATTCTGGGGACAGTGCATAGACGGGTATGGCTGGAGTACAGAATGAAAGGACAGTGGTAAATGAAGGATTCGGTTGATGAAGTATATGAGGACCACACTGTAGGGGTTTTTGATATCAGGCTGAGGAGTTCAGACACTAACAATTGGGAAGTGTTGCCAAAAACCAAACCAGGCTCATTGCCATTGAGTGGACTCTGACTCAGAGTAACCTTGTAGGATAGAGTAGAACTGCCCCATCAGGTTCCAAGACTGTAAATCTTTACAGAAGCAGACTGCCACATCTTTCTCCCATGGAGCGGCTTGTGGGTTAGAACCACTGACCTTTTAGTTAGCAGCTGAGTGCTTTAACTACAGGAGTGGTAGAGCAGGAAAACAATTTGATCAAGAAAGTCAAGTTGGGGTGCAGTGGGAGGACAGACTGGACAGAGAGACCACAGGGAATTATACCAGTTGCCATTGAGTTAGTTCCAACTCTGGGCAACTCCGTTAGTGTCCGAGTAGAACTGTGCTCCAGAGGGTTTTCAATGACTGATTTTTCAGTAGATCACCAGATTTTCTTCCATGGTATCTCTGGGCGGACTCTGAACCTCCAACCTTTTATTTAGCTTGCACCACCCAGGAACTCCTCGAGGCAATTTAGAGACTTCCAGTATAGTCATAAGGAGCTCTGGTGGCACAGTGCCTAAAGCATTTGACTGCTAACCAGAAGGTTGGAAGTTCAAACCCGCTAGCCACTCCTTGGAAGAAAGATGGGGCAACCTACTTCCATAAAGATTTACTGCCTTGGAAACATAACGGGGGTCGCAATGAGTCGGAATCAACTCAATGGTGGTAGGTTTAGTTTTTGGAATATAGTCATGGCCAGGATTTAGGGCTAGAGACAGAGTTGGGAGTCATCCATTCCATTACAGTTCTTGTACCATTGGTCAGATGGCCCCAGAATTCTTTTATAAATTTGTTATCAGAGATGTTCCTCTCTTCCCCTGGGCCATCCACCATTTTCTTCCAATCAACATAGTTGTCACCTAATCGACTCTGACTCACGGCAACCCTATGAGTTGGCAACCCACAGAGTAGGACTGGGCCCCACAGAACTTTCCCATGGCTGATATTTTGGAAGTAGATCACCAGGCCTTTCTTCCAAGGTGCTTCTGGGTAGACTTGAACCTCTGTCTTTCGTTAGCAGCCAAGTGTGTTAATGTTTCATACAACCCAGTCACGTCCTTTTCTTAGGTATGTGCTTTTCCACCATGTGCTTGGATTTTATGTTGATTGTCCCTCATAGTTTTATGATCTCTTCATGACACCTCGATATTCATCACCTCTTACTGTTTTTAATAAATTAATTTTGTTTTTTCATAACACAAAACGTATTGTTTCCTTTTTTAAAAAACCTAAATTAATTAGAAAATAAACTCAAGTTTAAGAGAAGAAGAAAACTAAGGTAAATAATCTCACCACCTATTAAAAATCATTTTGTTAATACATGGGTAGATCTCTTTGATGCAAAGTGTGGTCTGTAGACCAGCAGCATCAGCATCACCCAAGAGCTTGTTGGAAATGCAGAATCTCAAACCCCCTCACTCCAAACCTACTGACTCAGAATCTGAATTTTAGATCTTGGATACAGTAGGAGAACAATATGGAACAAAACTCAAAATCATAAAAAAGACCAGGCTTACTGGTCTGAAAGAGTCTGGGGAAACCCCTGAGACTATGGCCCCTGTTTACCCTCAGGCCTGTGGCTTCCAGCCAAATAATAGACAAACATATAGGGTAAACATTTTTACCTGGAAGATACACTCCTTAGAACGATCAATCATGGGAGAACAGAAGGGCAGTATTTGCACAGAGAGATAACTCAGGGGCAGGAATACATGGAAAGAAGGACACAAGGAAGAAGTAACTACAGGGAAAAAGTGGGAAGAGAGCTGTTACATTGTGGGGATTGCAGTCAGTGTCATGAAGGAAAATGTGTATGAACTACTGTGTGGAAAATGAATTTGCTCTGTAAAATTTCACTCAAATCACAATAAAAAATTTAAGAAAGAAAAAAAGAATCTGGATCTTAACCACACCCATCAAACCCAAAAGCAAAACCACTACTGTCAAGTTGATTCAACACATATCAACCCTACTGGACAGAGTAGAACTGTCCCATAGTTCCAAGGCTATATAAATCTTTATGGAAGCAGACTGCCACATTTTTCTACAGTGGAGAGGCTGTTGGGTTTGAACTGCTGACCTTTTGGTTAGCAGCTCATATATTTGGTTAATACTCATTTATATGCATATTAAGGTATGAGAAGCACTGGTATATATACCATTTTGTTGTTGTTATGTGCTGTCGAGTTGGATCCAACTCATAGCGATCCCTCCTTGGGTTTCCGAGGTGGTATCACTACGGAAGTAGATTGCCCAACCTTCCTTCCGAGGAGTAGCCGGTGGGTTTAGAACCGCCAGCCTTCTGGTTAGCAGTCAAGTGCCTTACGCACTATGCTACCAGAGCTCCCAAATACAATTTTAGGAATATATATGTTAATATGGGAGCTCTGATAGCATAGTGCGTAAGGCACTTGACTGCTAAGCAGAAGGCTGGCGGTTCAAACCCACCAGCCACTCCTCAGAAGGAAGGTTGGGCAATCTACTTCCGCAGGGATACTGCCTCAGAAACCCAAGGAGGGGTCGCTATGAGTTGCATCCGATTCAATGGCAGTGGGTTTTTTATATGTTAATATGTTTTAGGTAGAAATTACATCTGAGATATCACTAAATGTACTGTTTTGTCACCTGCTTTTTAACCTAATAAATTATGGAATGTTTTCATTTACATAATTTTATAATGTCACTTTTGGTGGTTCTATGGAATTCTACCCTATGGATACACCGTAATTTGTATAACCATTCCCTTCTTATTACCTTTTAACAAGCTTTTATATTGTCATTCTCTAAGCCTTTTATCTGTTTTATGGTTATTGTTCCTTTGTGATTGTAGAACTCACATAATTTTTCCAGATTACCTTTTCCTGGCCTCAGACATGTTTATTCTTCCTCTTTCATATTCACAGTATACCCTTAGGTCATCCTTTCCATTTAAAGGTTCTGGATCTCTTCAGTGGAACTCCTTCCCCACTAGCCTCTCTGCACAGCCAGAGAGAATTCAGGGCCTCTCCTTCCCCTTTATGCTCCTCTTTCTCCCCATTTGTGGTCCTTTTTCTCCTCTTCCAGTGAGACGCCAATATTCTACTTCGCAATGATTCTGCACTGTCTTCCCAGCCCAACTCACAGTCTAGTGGCAGATGTGTAAAGGATCTTTTAATTGTGTTCACCCTATTGTTACAATTGGGCTATAAAAAGATTCACATCATGGAAATGCTGTATGTTGGCAGGAGTCACTCATAACATACACAGAGGAAGAATGCTTAAGAGGAAGGACAGACAATTAAGCTGCTTAAGAGGAAGGACAGACAATTTTTCAAACATCAGCTGGATATCTCATTCAGCTAAAAGCAAATATCTCATTGAGTTTTTTTTATTTTATTTTTAAATATGTAATAAATATTACCATTTTCTAGGCAATCAATACATATTAGGTCAGCATGCTGCTGTTGTTAGTTGCCACTGAGTCACATCAGACTCGTGGCAACCTTATGTATAACAGAACAAAACATTGCCTGGTCCTGCAACATCTTCATGATATTTGATATGTTTGAGTCCATTTCTCATTTGATTTTGACTGGTCTCATTTGACCTCAGAATGGAAAGGAAATAGAGGTTGGGGAGAGTGGACTGTTGCTCTGTATCTAATCCTCCTACTAAGTGGAACTGAGACGGAAGGGACAGGAAGCTCAGGAGAAAATGACAAGAGTCATCTGGGAAATTGTCATGGTGGAGGAAGGCAGGCACTGGGTAATGTCACAACCTGTAGACTAGAGAAAGGACAATTTCAAAATAAAATGAAAAAAAATGCTGTGAGCAGAAATTCTAAAGAAAAGGTGATGCAAGAGTGGTGGAAAGATGTATAAGCTCAATAGGCATAACATACTACACAAAACCATTGTTCTATGTCCTACTTTGGTGAGTGGTGACTGGGGTCTTAAAAGCTTGCAAGCAGCCATCTAGATGCAACACTTGGTCTTTCCTCATCCAGAGCAAAGAAGAATGAAGAAAACCAAAGATGCATAGAAGCAGTAAGTCCAAGGGACTAGTGGACCATGCAGACCTCAGCCTCCATGACCATGAGGCCAGAAGAACTAAAGGGTGCCCAGCTACCAGTGTCAACCATTAGGAAAGAGATCAGTGCAGGAGATCCTGGGTAGAGTGGGAAAACAATGTGGAGCAAAACTCAAAATCATAAAAAAGACTAGGCTTCTTGGTCTGATAGAGCCTGTGGCAACCCCCAAGACTATGGCCCATAGTCACCCTTCAGGTCTGGAATTTAACTTACACCCATGGCTTCCAGCCAAACAATAAGCATATATGGTGAATATTTACATCAGGTAGATGCACTCCCTAGAACGATCAATCATGGGAGAATAGAAGGGCAGTATTTACAAAGGGAGATAGCTTGGGGCAGCAATGCATAAGAAAGAAGAACACAGGGAAGAGGTAACTACAGGGAGGAAGTGGAAAGAGAGCTATTACATTGTAGGGACTGCGGTCAATGTCATGAAACAAAATGTGTATGGACTGCTTTCTGCAAAATGAATTTGTTCTGTAAACTTTCACCCAAATCACAATAAAAATTTAAAAAAAAAAGTGATGGAAAGATTTAAAAGGCTCTTCCCTTTTTGTAACAACATAACCATCACTTGGAAGGTTACTAGAAGTACAGCTTCTTCGTTCCTAGTCCAGATCTATTGAATCAAATCTCTTGAGACCAGGTATCTGTGCTTTAACAAGCCCTTCAGGTGATTCAGATGCACACAAAAGTTTGAGAAGGACTCATCTACACCAGTGCTACTCAAAGTGTGGTCTGTGAATGTCAATTATTGGACTGCAACAAGAACAACAACAACAAAAAAAAACCCAATCTCACTGCTATTGAGTCAGTTCCAACTCATAGCGACCCCTCCTTGGGTTTCCGAGGTGGTATCTCTACCTTGTAAGAAGGGCGATTGCCCAGTCTTCCTTCTGAGGAGTGGCTGGTGGGTTTTGAACCACCAGCCTTCTGGTAGGAGCTCTGGTAGCATAGTGCCTAAGGCACTTGACTGCTAACCAGAAGACTGGTGGTTCAAACCCACCAGCTACTCCTCAGAAGGAAGGTTGGGCATTCTACTTCCACAGTGAAACCACCTTGGAAACCCAAGGAGGGGTAACTATGAGTTGGGCCGATTCGATGGCACATAACAACAGCCTTCTTGTTAGCAGTCATATGCCTTAGACATTACTCCACCAGAGCTCCTTGGACTGCAACAAGAATACAAAAATAGAGAGTAAACAGGGGACTTCTGACAAGTTAATGGAATAGACAGATAAGCTACCCAGACTCCCTGCAATAAGGAAACAAGAAACCAATTGAAACAGATACAGGTGATAATCCTGGAGCCCTGAGCTTTGAAGGGAAGGATAAAGACATGGATAAATATCAACTAGTAGCAGAAACTGAATAAAAACAGCCAATAAGGAGACAAATGGAGCTGTGGACTGTCAACTAGTCTGACAGCATAGCCATTTTGAATATTTGCAGACAGCATTCCTGTTGGGGCAGCAGCCTAGTAATCAGCTCCATGTGCCAAAGACTGCACAGGCACCCACACTGGTGGCTGGTGAGCAAAAAGAAACTGTGCCCATACAATCCAACCACATCCACACCTCCTGCAACCCCATCCACTGAGTGAGGGCTACCACCTGCTTCTGCACCAACTAGTCAACAATAAGACAGCAGCCAATACTAGCCCAACCTGCCCACAACTGCTCTACATGAACAGCAAACAGAGATCTATGCATATATTCTTATTCTCTATCACACCCACCAGGAGACAGGTGATGAGTTCCTAAGTGCTGCCAAACTAATGAATAGAGTAACACACCAGTCCCACTTGCTTGGATATATCAAAATAAAACAAGGGGAAAAAAAAAGCCTGGGAAAATCACACCAACATACAACCACTAATGAAATGACATCACAATGTTTTGGAGACAACTGACAAACAAGATAAAGTAGTACAAACAAGGACCAAATACAGAGCCAGAATACCTCCCTGGGGAAGAAGTGGCATTTGAGCTATCTGATAAGGAGTTCAGAAGAATTATATTTAGGTACCTTCAACACACTGAAAGATGAATCAAGGAAAATTGTGATAAAATCAAAGAAAACACTGACAAAATTAAGGAAAGCACAGAAAAAAGTCTAGAATAATTTAGGAAAACAGTACAAGAACAAACTGACAAAATAAAATAAAAATTAGAAACCATACAAAAAACAGCAAATAGAAATCCAGAAGATCAATACTAAGATTTCAGAAATAGATAGCACACTGAAAGGCTCGATGGCACATAACAACAACAATGAAAGGCAAAGGAGTAGAATTGAACAATGAAAGGTGAAATTAGTGAAATAGAAGACAAATCTTTCAACACTACTTTGTTAAGGGAATAATCAGAAAAAGAACAGCCAAAAAAAAAAGGAAAAGAAAGCCTTAAGATTTACTTGAAACACCATTAAGGGGAATAACTTATGTGTGATCAGAATTCAAGAACAGGAAGAGACAAGTAAAACCACAGAGAAAATTGTCAATGATTTATTGGAAGAAAACTTCCCTAATATGATGAAAGACAAGGAGATATGTGTTCAAGAAGTTCAAAAAATCCCAAACAAGATAGACCCCAAAAGAAAATCACCAAGGCATATCATAATCAAACTTTCAAGACCAAAGACAAAGAAAAAATTCTGAAAGCAGCACAAGAAAATCAAAAAGTTACCTACAAAGAGCAACCATTATGATTAAGCTCTGATTTCTCAGCAGAAAACATGCAGGCGAGAAACAATGGGATGACATATATAAAATCCTGAAAGAAAAAAAATTGCCAACCAAGAAATATATACCCAGCAAAATTGTCCCTCAAATATGATTGTGATAGGACATTTCCAGATAAGCAGAAATTAAGAGAATTTGTAAAAACCAAACCAACTTTACAATAAATACTAATGCATCATCTTAAGTTAAAAAAAAACTTAAAAAAAAAAAAAAAAAAAAACCACTGCCATCAAGTCAGATCCAACTTATAGTGACCCCTCCTTGAGTTTCCAAGGCAGTATCACTATGGAAGTAGATTGCCCATCCTTCAACCTTCATTCCAAGGAGTGGCTGGTGAGTTTGAACCACGAGCCTTCAGGAAAGGACAAATTTTTATACTATAGAACAGTTCTTAAAATTGAACAATTTTTTAAAAATTATTTTAAAAGTTCACTACATTACTTTTATTTTTCTGTTTCTGCCATCCATGGATTGATGAAAATGTCAGAAGGGACTGGTCTGCACATGGCATGTAGAAGCCACCATTCTGGGAGTGATTAGGAAAGGGGAACTCTCTATGCTATTTAAATAAAAGGATAATTAAATAAATGCATAGGTCTGTGCTTCAACATAAGGAGCACTGGTGGTGCAGTGGTGAAGCACGCATTTGCTAACTGAAAGGTTGGTAGTTTGAACCACTCAGTTCTGTGGGGGAAAGACCTGGTCATCTGTTTCCATAAAGATTACAGCCTAGAAAACCCTAGAGAGCAGTTCTATTCTGTCACATGGGGTCGCTAAGGATCAAAATTGACTTAAAAGCACCCGACAAAAAATATGAATCAATGTTGAAAAGCCCTTGCTGGGACCCAGGAAGTGGAAGGTTAGGTCACCAGTTGAGGCAGGGTGGTGACTGTAGGGTGTGTGTGTTTATATGTTTGGAGAGAGAACTATTCTTTTGTACACATTACTTCATTGCTTCTTACCAGTCCCCTTCTTTATTTTTACAATGTTTAGCCTATCAGCTCATCACAGTGGTGATTGCAGCAGCAGGAGGTGGGCTTCTGCTTATCCTAGGAGTTGCACTGATTGTTACCTGTTGCAGGTGAGTGGTGAGAGTTCAAAGTTTAATTCTATTTCTTGGCCTGGACCATGCAAGGATCAATTTTTACTCTTTTAAAGAAAGTTTGGGGTGGTTTATAATGTTAAAGCATAACATATGACTGAATCCTTGGAAAAAAAAAAAAAAAAGACAAAAGGAAATTCATGACAGTTGGTACCAGCAGGGAGAGAAAAAAGGGGAGCAAATGAGACTGTATTTTCTTTATTAAAAATGCATGTCCAAAAGCACAAGAAAGAAAAAAGCAGTGCATTGGATTTCATCAAAATTAAAAACATCTGTGCTTCAAAGGACACTATTCAGCAAGTGAAAAGACAACCTACAAAATGGGAAGAAATAGTTACAAATCATATGTTTAATAAGGGGCTTGTATCTAAAATATATAAAGAGCTCTTACAACTCAACAATAAAATAATAATAAAAAGGCAACCCAGTTAAAAGATGGGCAATAGATCTGACTAGCTATTTCCCCAAAGAAGAAACACAAATGGCCAAGAAGCACATGAAATGGTCCTTGATTTACATCAGGTAAATGCAAATCAAAACCACATGAGATACCACTTCACACCCACTATTGTTGTTGGGTACTGAGTAGATGGCTATAATAATAAAATAAGAAAGAAAGAAAATAAGTGGTAATGAAACCAAAACCAAACCCACTGCCACTCAGTCAATTCCAACTCACAATGACCCTGTAGGGCAGAGCAGAACTGCCCCATAGGGTTCCCCAGGCTGTAATCTTTACAGAAGCAGAGGCTGGTAGGTTGGAACTGCTGACATGTCATTGTGCCGCCAGGGCTCCCACAGTTACCCAGAGGGTCAAAAACTGAGTGCTCAGTTTTTAGCCTTACATTTGCCAAGTGACCTATAGCATATCCTGTAACCATTTTGGGAAGGGGCCTGTGAGCATTGGGGAAGGTAGTTGTGAATGAGCAAGTCATTGTTTGAGTCCGGATACCCCACCCTCCAGGGACCAACATAGTGATAGGTCTGTTCTGAACTTATGAGAGGGACCAACGCCTAAGCCACTTGCTAGACATTTGTATTTATGATCCTAAATCATGTTGTGCATTACCCTGAAAAGGTATTCATGGGAAAGTGAAGTACAAAGAAGAAACTTCCAGTTGTCTTCCACAGGGCAAATGCCATTAGAAATTTCTGATCTGCGGCCCATTGTTGTTGTTGTTATGTGCTGTCGAGTTGGACCTGACTCATAGCGACCCCTCCTTGGGTTTCCGAGGCAGTATCACTACGGAGGTAGATTGCCCCATCTTCTTCTGAGGAGTGGCTGGTGGGTTTGAACCGCCAGACTTCTGGTTAGCAGTCAAGTGCCTTAGGCCTACGCTACCAGAGCTCCCTGCGGCCCATTAGATGGTTGAATGACATACCAGTGAAATGTCCCCAGTAGAAAGGCTGGTCCAGAGTTGTCCTGATCTGCTGAAATGAGAATATATACAGATACATAAATATGTGGGAGGTTCTGCAAACAAGACACCCTGTTTTTATGGACTGTGAAGTAGTTTCATGTGGTTGAACAAGCACTGGCTGGAGAATTGGAAGGACTGAATTCTAGTCCCAGCTCTGCTAGTAGTAAAATATGACCCAGGGAACAAGTCTTATCTCTTCACTGACCCAGACTTGTCCCATCCCTAAGGATGCTAATTCAGTAATTCTAGGTAAGACCTGGAAGCTTCCCATGTACATTCTGATGCTAAAGCAGGTTGTGAACCATTGGATTAGAAGATTCTAAGGGTTCTTCTGGCTCCAGTGCTCTGTGAAGTTCTGGCTCTTGTTTCCCTGACCACCCCCAAGACCCAGTGATTTCTGTCCCCCAGCTAATCTAAGTCTGCTCCACTGCAGACTGTCTTTGTCCTCCCTGTCCTTCATAATGTCCTTTTGGGTTGGAAGATTTTTTTATCTTTTTTTTGCATCTAATTGCATTTTTGTTTGTATTAGGCAAATACTGAAAATAACAACTAACTCAATGTGCAGCTACAAAGAAATATTGTTGTTATGTGCCGCTGAGTCGTCTCCAACTCATAGCAACCCCTCCTTGGGTTTCCAAGGCAGTATCACTATGGAGGTAGATTGCCCAATCTTCTTTCTGAGAAATGGCTGGTGGGTTTGAACCTCCAGCCTTCTGGTTTGCAGTCAAGTGCCTTAGGCACTATGCCACCGGAGCTCCTACAAAGAAACATAGTGAGGGCTTTTGGTCTAATTTACCTTTTAAAATGATAGTTGGTGCCCTCATAGGCATCATTTCTTTACAGACTCATTCATTTAACTTTTCAAATATTTTTTTTATCCCACAGAAAGAGTAAAAATGACATAAGCAAACTCATCTTCAAAAGTGGGGATTTCCAAATGTCCCCGTACGCTGAATACCCCAAGAACCCTCGCTCACAAGAATGGGGCCGAGAAGCTATTGAAATGCATGAGAATGGAAGTACCAAAAACCTCCTGCAGATGACAGATGTGTATTACTCGGTGTGTATTCCCGGGCTCAGTGCAACCTCTGGGCTCCACATTCCTTTGAGAAGTAAAGCAATGCTGTTTTGTGGTAGTAAAAGCATTCCAGCTCATTAAGAGTTAAAGGGAATAGCCATAGCCATGTCTTATTTACATATTTTAATATTTAGTTACTTACACCATTTGCATGATATTTGCCAGTTTTGGTATTGAGATGTGAAGGATATTTCATAAAACACAGAACTTCTATGGGGTTGTAGCAATAGCCTTCATATTGCTAGACTTGCTTTTAAATTATAGGGTTAGAAACTGAAAAGAACAAAGGATTAAGGGCTTTTAGCCCTTGGCTGTTTCATTTTTATCTCTAGTCTGCCATGCTTTACTTCGTGTGGTTGAATAGTTAAAATTGGGGGAATGGAAGAAGATATAAAGAGAACAATTCAATGGAATCATCAACAAGGGTTTCTCAGAGTTTTAGAAGATGATCTGCTGCAAAATCAACCAAATCCATTGCCATGAAGACGATTACAACTCATAGCGACCCTATAGAACAGAGTAGAAGTGCCCCATCAAGTTTCCAAGGTTTACAGAAGCAGACTGCCTCATCTTTCTCCCATGGAGTGGCTGGTATATTGGAACCACTAACCTATTGGTTGGCAGCTGAGCACTTAACTACTGGGCCATCATGGCTCCTTCCTATTCATGTTTGCCCAATAACATTTATCATTCCAATAGCTTCCAATTGTGTCTGCTCAGTAGGTCTTTAATAGTGTGATATGTGCAGTCCTGGACTGTATCATTTGGAAAGATGGATGACTACATTCCATGCTTGCTTCTTCTGTCCTGCGTTGAAGTTAACCCATGTCTTTCTTCTGTGCTCTGTCCAGTTCATTTCACATTACACTGCACCAACCAGAAAGCAAATGCACATGGGGATATCTGAGCTGAAAAGTAAAAGGATTGCAGGTGACTTCTCATGCCCTGTGGAGCTGTTTGAGCTCTAAGAATAAACACAAAACCTTGCCCCTAGGGGCTTAATAGCACTAGACGATATCATTACAGAAACTATAATCCCTCTGGTTGCTATGGGAATTAACTGAGGATTCAGACTTTGGATGGGAGGGACAAGTTTGTTCATACTACAGAGCCATTTGTTTTGCTGGGGCTCCTTTTGAAAAATTTGAATCTGAAGGAAGAACAAGAAGAGATAAAGGGAAAGAGTTTATGTAGCCTCAAACTCACCTCTAATTAAAGTGTTTCCATCGATACTTCCTCAGGACTTTGCTCTTTGCTCTGTTGTCAGGAAAGTCCTTTTGCTTTAATCTCTCAAGGCGTCACTAAGTAGGTGTTTTACCACGTTTCCCCGACACTGACTTCCTCTGCTAGGGCTCTTCAACCTTAACACGGCAACACATGGGCCTGCGACACTAGTATCATAGCACCAAACTTAGCTGCATGTTTCCATGGCATTAGCAAAAGAGTTGCCCTAAAAAGATACAGTCAAGGACTTAAATGAACCCAGTCTTCATTTCACAAATAGTAGGCTGAGCAGTCTGTAGAAGCAGAGCCTAAGCTTATAGCATGAAGCTGTCTACTCTGCTGAGAAGGATACTTTTTTAAAAAATTATAATAATCAGTAGAACCATCATCACACAGGCTTAATTCAGTTCTTTCCCTACATTGGTCCAAAGTCACTGGCCTGCCCCTGATTCATGTTCTTTCAAAACTCCTTTAAAAATACTGGCAAACGTATCCCAGGTTCCATTAAGAAACACACCCATGAAGATCCTGACCATTCTTGGTCAGCCTTGGTTCTGTCGTTTGTGTCTGCCTTTCTCTTATGTTTAAAGAGCTCTAGTGGTGTAGTAGTGGTTAAGGCATTTGGCTGCTAACCGAAAGATCACTGGTTCAAACCCACCAGCCAGCCGCTCTGCAAAAGAAAAATGAAACAGTTTGGTTTGGTTTTGGTCCTCTAACATTTATTAAAAGGTAGAATTGTTTTAAAAAAAAAAAAAGTATAAATTTAACTGAAGATCAATAAGTTGACTTTTCTTCTTTTCTCTTTGGCTGCCAGCCCACAGGTGTAAGGAATCCTGAACTTGAACGAAATGGACTCTACCCGGCCTACACTGGATTGCCGGGATCACGGCATTCTTGCATTTTTCCTGGACAGTATAACCCATCGTTCATCAGTGATGAGAGCAGAAGAAGAGATTACTTTTAAATGCAGAAGAGTGAGGGAGGCCCGCTGCTCTGAGCAAGTGACCGGGACTTCACAGGACTGTACCAGTATGGAGCGCCACCGCTGGCTGCTCCCAGGACTTGTCGGAGCCATGCTCAGTGGCAAGCAGAAAGTGAGAGAGGCGTGAGGGGAGTGACCACAGTGGAAGGGGACAGATGGAGCCTGTGGATGTGGCACCACAGGCTGCTCACTGGCACCTTCGTTACTACTGTGAATGTGAACATGGGCCAGTACAAAGAGAGTATCTCAGAGTAACTGCGAAGTGGCCATGAGCGCTAGGACCGACTGTTAAGGAAGGCAGATCACTAGGCATCGTTACAAGGACCCAGTTTTTCCTTAGTTTGCACTTTAGTAAATTGGATGGGGAGGTCTTTTAGATTTATCTCGAGACTGATCCAAAAAGAAGGCCTCTCTTCCTCAGACACTTCCATCAGCCTCAGTTTGGTGATTAATTTGAAGCAAAATACCAACTCTAGTTCTTTTCCTGCCTGGAGCCTGCATGCTAAACAACGGATGATGTTAAACACACCACTACAGTCTGAAGAGGCTGCAGTTTAACATACAGTATTTTAATATGTTTCTAGGTTTGATTGGGAGCTCTGGTAGCATAGTACCTGAGGCACTTGACTGCAAAACAGAAGGCTGGTTCAAACCCACCAGCCACTCCTCAGAAGGAAGGTTGGGCAATCTACTTCCATAGTGGTACCACCTTGGAAACCCAAGGAGGGGTTGCTATGAGTGAGTCCAACTTGACGGCACATAACAACAACAACAATAGGTCTGATTATGCTACAGTTTCTAAGCCAACCCCCGAAATGAGAAACTGAAATGGATGAGGCCCAGCACACAAGTCCAGTTTGCTTTTTAACAAAGTGGCACATTTACTTAAAATTATTTTTCCCTTTGCAGTGAAATCTCCCTTCTTCAAACAAGTCTGGGTAAAAACAATGTCTCTGGATTTAGTTAGAGGTGTCCAGCTTCCCTGTGGAGAGCCCAGAGGCAGAATCGGGCTGGTCCTGGCTGTGCCCTAGCAGATGATCTCGCAAGCTGCGGGCTGGGGACACTTTCTATCAGTGAGGGCATTGCCCGGTGCCTGGGATGCTGACCACCATCCTGGAAGCCTGAGGCCTCCCAAAAAAATGGATGGGTTAGACATGGAGTGCTGAATGCAGGGCGCGTCTGAGCTGGTCTTTCACCATGAGAGGAAAAGCAGCATGGTGTGGTTCCTGCAGCTGAAGGTGATTGGGGCATGGACGGCACAGGCAAGTCAGAGTTCCTGAAACCCTGGTGTTTGGGAAGCTGTGTGGATTCCGGAGGAAGAATCGGGAGCTTGGGTGGAGCCCCCTGTGAGTTTGCTTACCTGCTAGTGCAGCCTCTTTGATTGTACCCATAATCCTGTCTACAAACTCAGTGTAGACTTTTAGCTACTCAGAGCTGTTTGTTCATTGAAGAAATTTCTCATCTCTCATCCATAATTTGTACATACTTATACTACTGTGTAGTTGCCCCAGAAACAGTTTTAAATCAAGTCAGCACCAGAGAACTAAAGACTTCTGGCCAGTCAGGGAGCTGAGAGTTGGCCTTTGGGACGGAAATTCCACCCGTTGTCAATAGGGGGGCATATCCAGTGTTCAGTGTCTTTTACTCCCTCTTGTGGAGCTTTGCTTATTCTCATTATCTGCTTGGAACATCCTGGTTTTGGATGAAGTAAAGAGAACACAAGTAGAAGAATTGTTCCCACCCTGAAGCTTTGTGCTCAGTGACACATGCTCTTTTGAAAATGGTTCAGCAGTGGGGAACAATTCCACCCTGGACATGGTTGTTTCTTCAAGGTTCTCTAATCTTGTCTGCACATAGTCCTTATTCTTATGTCCTCCTCAATCTGCTGGTTTTAAGCATGTACTGCTGTGTAGTATGGTCTCCACTGCTTACCATCATCACTCTGCTGTGACAGTGCTTGTCAGAGCGATATATCTTGTCACTTAAACACATTCATCTCATGGGCTAGACAGAAAAAGAATTCTGTTTTTGCCAATGGATGCCAAGTTAAAATTTCAGAGCATCATATTGCCTTTTTAAATCGTGGGTCTTGCATCTCTCTACCTTTTTACCTTACATCTACCTGGAGAGCCCAGAGCTCCTGCACTCAGCTCACCTGAACTCATAGACTTGACACCCTAGTAAGGTGGCCCAGCTTTCTGGCTCTTTCCATAACCTTCTTGCTCATCCCTAGGACCCACAGGTGTGGAAAGAGCTCAGGTGTGGGATTTCTTCCCAGGGATCTACTTCTGCTGCCTTCAGCTGACATCACCACTGATGAATCATCTCCTGTGTCAGGGCCGGGCACTATACCACACAAGGAAGCATTTAAAAGCATTTTTTAAAAGAATCGCAGTCCAGAAAAGAGTCTCCTGGGAGTTCTATGAATGCTTTCCTGTTAATAGGTTTTGTCCATATGGAGTGGATTAAGAGTGTATTTTTTTTAACTGAAGAAATGAGGCACCCTGCCAGGTTAACACAGTAACTACAGTTTCTAGGAGGCAGTGGGGAGGGGCAAAGTGCACCTCACAGGTTCTCCAACGTGCCTGAAAGCAGCATGTGCTAGGGCGAGGCTGGCTTCACCTTGTTGTGGTTCATCCCTCTCCAGGAGGTCCTGCCTCGGCCAAGGGGAGACTGGACCAAGGAGCTGGGGACACACCTGGCAAAAGGAGCTCTCAGCTCTGGTCCAGGTGCACTCTGGTGTCTGTCTCTGCCTGGGATGTGTGACTCATGTACTCACACCATGGGGCCTGATGGCTGGCTGAAGGTGAGAAGAAGGGAAAAGTGACACTTACCTGCCATCAGATGCTTAACCTTCTGTAGGGAAGGGCTGGGCCAAATGGCACCTGTGTATAAACTCCAAACCAAAAAAAAAAAAAAACCCACAGCCATTGAGTTGATTCCAACTCACAGTGACCCTATAGGACAGAGTAGAACTGTCCCCATAGGGTTTCTTAGCCTGTAAATCTTTACAGAAGCAGTCTGCCTCATCTTTCTCCCATAATGTGGGTAGTGGGTTTGAACCACTGACCTTTTGGTTAGTACCCAAATGCCTTAACCACTGCGCCATCAGAGCTCCTGGTATAAGCTTGGGAGGGTCTTATTTCCCTGTCTTTTTCTCTTTTCCCCATGAGCCAGCCCAGGGCACAGAGTCTGTTTATTAGGATAATACAGCTAATAGCTCTCACATTCTTCCCGCCATGAGGCTCCCTGCAAGGTACATGGCCTCAGATCCCCCTCCCCGGAGAGACAGGCATGAGAGTACCTATTTCTCAGACAGAAAGCTCCAGAGGGATAAAATAACTTACCTTGTAGAGCTGAGATTCAAACTCCAGTCTGCCTGGCACACCTTTGCACTCCCTGCTATCCCTCCCTGCCTCATCTTCCTGGTACATCCCTCACCATCCAAAGAGGATGAGAGAATGAGCTTAAAAAATAAGTTCTTATTTTCCTTAAAGAACCAAAAATATTATCAAGCAATAGCTAACGCAGTAGCATGAAGTGCAAGAAAAATCTTGAATCCCTTTTGGAAAAGTCCTATCTGGTTTGTTTTTGTGTATATGTCTTTGACACTGTTGGTCATCATTAATAAAATAGTGGCTGGCTTGTGCTTAGCAAGAAGCATTTTGGTATGTGACTTTGGGTATAGGAGGTGTAAGGTGATGATCTGGGTTTTTTAGAGACATGGCCAGACTCATGACCCACTGAGGGCTGCTTCTTCAGAGTAGACACCTGAGAAGCTCAGGCCATGTTCCTATAGTTAGGCCACAGTTCCCAGTGTTTTGGAAGCATATTTTTGTGAACCATTACCAGAGTTGGGAGCGTATTTGGTTGAATATCTTAAATGCTGACAAGTCTTCCTCCTTTGAGAGGAAGTTTATTTTCAGAAGCAGCTAAGGCGTTTAGAGTCAAAATTGCTAAATGTATGGTGCAGCTGAGCTGGCTGATAGCATTTGAGGTCAGAAAATAAGTAGTCAGCTGCTAACTGAAAGGTCAGTGGTTCAAATCCACCAGCTGCTCCTTGGGAGAAAGAAGGTAGTCCACTTTCATAAAGATTTCAGCCTTGGAAACCCTTTGGGGGCAGTTCTACTCTGCCCTACAGGGTCTCTGTGAATCAGAATCAACTTGATAATATGGGTTTGGGGATTAAGTTCTTTAAAAGCTGAGTCTAAAAGTTGGAAGGGCAAAATCCTTAGAGTATGAGGCTGGATGGCTGCCTAGTAAAAGGCCTCTGTAGAATGATATTGATTCAGATGTGAGTCCCCAACCAGAGACCTTAGAGTCTCTCTCACACGTGGCTCTGTGGAGCCATTTTGCCCACCTGCAGGTGCCAAAATGGCCCATAACTCTTCTCAGGTTTGCCTGACGAAGCTGGACCTGCACAGCCCAGTTGCCTGTGGCTCAGTACAGCCTAACACATCCAAAACTAGAGTTTTGACCCATAATTCTAAAATATCTTCATTTTGAAATGAGGAGGTCACTTCTTAAGAGAGAGGAAGAAAGCAAAGTTTCCTATCTTAGTATTTTGTATCTTATTTTAAACTCTCCTCAATGTCAGAGAGATTTTTTCTATTTGAAAGCTTCTGTGGGGATTAGAAGGGACATTTCATGTGCTTCTTGGCAAAGTAGCATTCTGAGGTTCTCTGGTGCATTTTTGGAAACAGAACTTTGTGTGCTTTGCCTTTGGGTATGTGGTTTTGGTTTTTTTTTCTCCTTGAATCCTATGAAAAAGGAAACTGGTTAAAATGCTAAGTCCATTAAAGTATTAAATGCCAATTAATTTGTTTTATAAGTATCTTTTCAATAGTGTTACAATCCGTCATATCTTTGTAAACTGCTCAAAGAGAAGACTGTGGAACCAAGGGGCAATTCAGGTCTAAAATGAGATGGCATTTTCAAAGAGGACATTTCAAAGAATTTTTCCGTGAGAAGTCTGTCTGTAC